ATCACAGCAGGAATGCCGTTTCCGGTGTGAATGAGCATGTGTGCACTTACATGTGTCCTATACACAAAATTCCTGTGGCTGGGCATTTGCTGGGAAGGTCACAGGTGAAATTCTCTTCTGTTTGATTATGAGCAAAGATTTGAACCTGTTTTGGAAGTAGCACCTGAATGAGATCTTAGTTGTTTTGGCAGGGATAACACTGATGCCTCTTTTCCCTTTAGAAGGGTCTTGGATCTGCTTTGCTGCAGCATTTGAAGGATTTTGAAATATCAGACTCCTTTGTAGCAGGAAAAGTAATTTTTATGTTGAGCTTTGTGAATTGCTTAACATCTCAGAGCTTCTATAGAGCCTGGAAAATGCAAGGTAGATTATTTTGTTTTGTTTTCTCAGTCACTGCCTCTGTTTGAACTTTAAGCTTTTTGAGATAGATATTTCTGCATGCACAGTATCTGTTGTAATGCTATGCTGATTGGTTATTTTCCTGTTATTGTGTTGTGGAGAATCAACATCGAGACAAATAATTGTCAATTTTGTCCTCTTTCAGAAAAATACTTATAGGGAATTGCTGTTCAAACGTTGAAACCATTTCCATCTCCAGCAGAAAACAGCAATTCGTAATTATACAGGAATGTCTCAGGGTTTGCATTTTAAGCACTCCATTGTTTTTTATGAGAGATGAGAATGTTACCAGACCTTTGTAAAGTGTGGCTGGAGCGTGGTGCTCATGCAGAACTGGCAGCCTGTGGCAGAGCAGGTCCCTGCTGCAGTTACATGTCCTGCCCAGGAAACTGAGATACAGGGACTTGGCTGAGGGCCCCCAGCAGATGATGCCAGAAAAGACAGTTTGATCCAAGCCCTTTTAACTTGACTGTTTTGCCCTCTTCTTCGCTCAGGGAGAAGGTTAAGTATGAGAGAGAGTGCTGTGCCAAATCCAGCTTAAGCGGTTGTTAGGAGGCAGCAGTTGCAATAGAAGCCCCAGGGACCACTTTGCCCTGGGATTATCCTCCTTGAGCAGTTTCTTTTGGAAAGCATTCTGTGAAAAAATTAGAGATTTAACTCTGAACGTGAAGAATCATAGAATAATTTTGATTGAAAAAGACCTTTAAGATCATCAAGTCCAACCGTAAACCCAAGTCCACCACTAAATCATATCTCTAAGTGCCACATTTACACGTCTTTTAGGTGCCTCCAGGGACGGTGACTCAACCTCTTCCCTGCTTGGCAACCCTTTCAGTGAAGAAATTGTTCCTAATATCCAATCTAAATCTCCACAGGCACGACTTGAGGTCGTTTCTTCTCATCCTGTCACTTTTTACTTGGGAGAACAGACCGACCCCCACCTTGCTATTATCTCATTTCAGGTAGTTGTGGAGAGTGAGAAAGTCTCCCTTGAGCCTCATTTTCTCAAGGCTAAAAAAACCCCAGTTTCTTCGTCTGCTTTTCATAGGACTTGTGCTCCAGACCCTTCACCAGCTCTGTTGCCCTTCCCTGGACATGCTCCAGCACCTCAGTGTCTTTTCTGTAGTGAGAGGACAAAACTGAATGCAGCACTCGAGGTGTGGCCTCACCAGTGCTCAGTACAGGGGGACAACCACTGCCAGTGTAATATATGTGATGCATGTTAGAGAGATGGAGCAATTAGATGAAAAGGTGATCCAGGGCAGGAGAAATATAAAGCTCAAAGCCCATCTGCATGCTTTAGAGAGACACGCCTGCTGTTCGGGACACTTGGCAAGTCTCGGGATCCTTTGGGTCCTTTCTCCACTGTCCTGGGCTGCACAGCAAAGAGAAGGGGAGGCACTGCCCTGGGTTTAGGTCTCAACTGTCTACTACTAATTTCTATACCTGGGAAGATCTTGCATGGACCATATCTTTGCTCTGGTGGCAGCAGCTGCTGCTGTGGACCATCCCCATGGGCTGTGACCTTCTGCTTACATGTTTAAAGCAGTCAGGTAGTAACCTTCCTTGTTGGCATGGCAGGGCCTTCCACTGCACCACTTCACCCACCCATGAGGTGGGTGAGCCTCAAGAAGAGGAAAGTATTTATTTCACAGATCTCAGGAAATGCCTGGATTTGAGTCATTTATCTCTCTGAGTTTGTGACCTTCTTTGGATATCACCCAGACAGTCTTTTTACTTTTTGTATCTTTTTCTGGATGTTTCTTGATGACGGGTGAATGGGTTGGAGTAGGATCAGAGAATAATTTTCCTACCTAGGCCTGTAATTCATAAAATAACTGGCAAAACTTGTCTTGAAGTTGGAGATTGTTATCAAAGTGTAGTAATGATGTGGGATAGAATCTGGAAACACTCTCTCGCTTTACACAAGCACAGTGAGTCTACACAAACCCTGTTTTTTCCATTCACTTCCATTTTTTTTCCCTAGGTTTTGGGGGTTTTTTCTATTCTGCCTCACCTTTTTCTGTCTCTGGTTTGGGAAAACAGAGCAGTCCCTGGTTTTCAGGTTTTCCTCGGTAACCATGTAAACTTCCCACAAATGATGATTAGTAAAAGAATCTCTCCATGAAAAATAAACAAAACACTTCAGGCCTTACAGGATAGGTGTCTAACCTTCTGCAGGCTTGAATGAACATAAAAAGTAACCAGAGTTTATGACTTCTCTGAACAGGTATCAAAAGAACCGTTTTCAGATTTTTTTTATATTATTTTTCTGGAGGAACCTGGGAACTTCCCTCTCTTCAGTCAAAATTGAACTGATTACCTCTGTTAATCACTGACAAGCATTGCTAGATAGTAACAATTAGCCTAATAATTTGATCATCACTAGAGATTTTTTGGCTGTTTTGTTTTTTTTTTTTTTAAACAGATTTCCTCATAGTAAATTGGTTACAAAATTAGTGCTAGTGAACATGTTAAGTGTTATCAGTAGTACCAGAGAAAAGTGAGCACGCATTTCCAGAGTTGAATGCCCTTATCCAAAAAGATACTTGCACCTTTGCTGTCAAAACCTGTTACTTCATGTGGCTACATAGATCAGAAGGGACTTTGAATTCTCATGCATACTAAGACATGTTACTTTCTGTATTTGATTTTTTTTTAACCTCTAAAGCCTGCAGAGTTATGAAATGTTCTGAGACTCCTAAGCTTTGCCAGTAGGTACTGTAAGTTGGGTTTGTATACGTGCTCCTCAACAAGGCAGAGAATGGACATGTATAATTATAGACCATTGCAGCGTGGGGAGGGATTCATAAATGGCTGGTCTGTAGCTGGGAGTGATTTTTGAGGTGTAACCTTGAGACTGACTTGCATGCATGAATTAATTTGGAAGACTGAGTGAATAGCTGTTAGTAGGACAAGATGAAAAATGTTTTTGCCCTGCTGACTGACCTTCTGCAGATTGAGGCTGCTTTTCCAAAGAGAAGTGCTAGCAAGGAGAATGGGTTATGCAATTTGTTGTTCTAATTTGCATATTTATTCAAGTGTATCTTCCCAGTGACCTCCTAATAGCTGCACAGTGTCAGATGACAGCGCTTTTGCTGTTGTTGGTGTTTTCCAGGGTGTCTGGCTTGCTTGTTCAGGAAACGGGAAGGGCCAGGCTGGGTTCTCTCCAGGCAAAAGCAGTCAGTGGGGCTGTAGGAAAAAAGCCTTCATACCTTACTCCAAACCAGAGTGTTCAGACATGTATCTTTAATTTCCTGGTGTGGGGCAGAGGGATCAGGAGACATGGGCAGCAATCCAAGTGTTACCAAGGATCTGGGTCTGGCCTTGGTGAGAGAGAAAATCTTTTGGATGCTCAAGCCAAAGCTTGTGAGACTCACCTGGCACTGAAGAGACTTGATTTTGGTTACAGCCACAGAGGACACGTCCCTTTTGCCCCTTTTGCTGATGACATACCTAAGCACTGAAGCTGAGGGGAACAACTCTTTTTGCAAATGGTGAAGAGCAGCTTTCACAAGTGGCAGAGGCCCAGGGTGGGAATCAGAACTGACTCCCCCCCTTGTCTGTGCAAGCCACAGCCTTGCACTTCGGTGTTCCTGTCTTTAACCACTACCCTTAAATGAGATCCACGGCTTCTTTGTGATCAGCTAAGATTCCTAAGGAATCTGGGGTTAAGTACTTTTGTGTTCTGCGAAATTTAGGGGGAGTTTTTATTAATTCAGAAGCTACTGTAAGATGAGGTAGAAGCAAACATCTGGTCATCTGGTATCACATTCACCAGCAGCTTATGAGACCCAGGGGTCTTTACCTGTTTCCAAATGGAATGTCTGCAGTTTGAGATTTGCTTTAAGGATGACCATCTCTTTAATACCAATGTGTGATTTATCTATTTATATGGTTTTTTAAATATTGTTCTCAGTGTATTTCCTCATTTATATTAATATATAGATTGTGGCATTCCATCACACCAGCTGGATATTTGATAAAGAATTTGCTCTTATCCAAACTCTGAAATATTTTGGCAGCTCAGCTGGATCAAAATAAATTTTAATTTAAAAAATAATGTGCGATGTGTTTACTTGAATCAAAACATTGCAAAACAATGAACTAGTGGATTAAATAGAAACTTGGAAAAGTAATGCAATATAAATATGCTATCTACACAGAATATTTCTGAGGACTAAATTTATCTTAGGCTTCTGTTTGGATTTTACTTGAAAGCAGTACTTTTAAATACTTAGGGACTGTAAACTTCTGCTGATATGTGACCAAGCCAAGGCTTCTGGGAAGTGCATTCAGCCTTAGAAGTAGTAGCAAGTGGAGCAGAAGCAGGCAGGAATTAATTTAGTGACAGCATAGATCTAGATAAGGTGTGAATATCTACGCTCAGCAGTTTTTCTGGGAGTAGTGAGCTTTGACAAATTAAATAATGTCTGAGGCTTTTAAGTTTAAGGTTTGTAAATACTGTCTTATTTTCAAAAGAACATCTTACCTTATAAACATGATTTCTCTCTTGTTTTGTCACTGATGTCCTTACCAAACAGATTTCAAAAGCAAAACACAGGGATGTAATTCAGTGTCTTTCTCTCTCCCCCGTCTAGATTATCAGCGTCTGATGACAGTGGCAGAGGGAATCACAACGCTGCTGTTCCCGTTTCAGTGGCAGCATGTGTACGTCCCCATCCTTCCTGCCTCTCTCCTGCATTTTCTGGATGCTCCTGTTCCCTACCTGATGGGGCTGCAGTCTAAGGAGGGGACCGACCGCTCCAAGCTGGAGCTGCCTCAGGAGGTCCGTCTCTGTCTTTGGGGTTGCTATGCTGGAATGTGTTATTAGTATTTGTGTATGAATTCCTGCTGGAAAATGCCATGCCTGGTGTTAGGAGGCCTCTCTGGCACTGTGGCCCTGCCCTGCCAGCCTCATTCCTGGCTGGGTTGAGGTCTGTTACTAGACCAGTGCCCTGGCCTGAAACAAGCCAGATTTGCATTGATACTGTGCCTGTGAACCACTTAAAGAGAGAAAAAAGGAAGGAGAAGGCCTTGTCATCATCTAGGTGTTAAAATCCCAGGTGATGGTAGAGAGTAAAATATGGAGATTTTTCTCCTTGAAATTTGACCGAGATGATGAAAACAGCTTCACATTCTAATCTGGTCATACAGCAGAATCTTTGGGATGTGGCTAACCTGTCTGCCTTCCAGATGGTGACTGGAAGCAGAACAAGCCGTGCTTTTTAACTTGGGTTTCTTCTTAAAATCAGTGGGAACCCCCAAAATAACCATTCATATGGCAGTATGACAGTGGCAGAGCTGAGCTCAGATATGTGCAGAGACCTCTCCTGGGAGCAGAGTCCTTAAGGCTTGCAGATATGTGCTCTTACTGGGAAGGCAGGTTGGAAGCCGCAGCCAAGGAGAATATGCTAGAGAGGGAGTTTGTATGTGGAAGTGGAGAGATACACAGAGGGTAAGGATAATACAGTTTTTTAAAGAGATCTATTTTCAGTATTAAATGGAGGTGACTGAGTCTTAGCCTCAGTGGCATGTAACTGCAAATCAGCTTTTACCTCATGGATACAATGACCAAAGCATATGAAATTTGCACAGATGAGGAAATGGAGCTGGTATAAAGCTACGCTCCTCAGTAAAATCATGCTAATATTATATAATTACTGTGATTTTAAAAATCATTAGTCACATGCTTTTAGTTAGCAGATTAAGCTGTCATTTTCCTTAAATTAAAATTTTAATGTGACAGGCTTGAAGTATCACTGGAATAGCAAATTAAATATCACCAGGGAGAGAAGAGCAATAGCGGGCTAGAATCTGTCCCCCACCCCTGATGTTTAACAAATGAGTGAAAAATATCAGCATTCATGAACACCACAAGTCCAGTAACTCTGGGAGAGGGAAAGAAAGAAGGCATATTGAACAGACAAGATCTTGAATCTCAAATTCCTCTAGACAATAAAAAAACAAAAAACCCTTCAGCATGCGAGCAGTGGTGAAGCACTGTTCACTTTAGCACTGCTTTATTGTTCAGGCCAGAGGCTAGCTTTTCAAGCTCTTGCTCTAAATATAAACCATTTGTTTGTTAGAGATAAAAATTCTAACAACTGGCCATCATGCTGTCTTAAGGTTACTAATCTCTCTGCATTAACTTTAATCATCAGATGTTTTTGAAGAGAGAAGTGAGACCAATTCCCCCGGGGTTTTCTGAATCCAAATCTCATTTTTCAAATTTTGTAAATTATATGCAGAGCTGAAATTAAAAAGCCTTTGAAATGAAATATTGATAGATAAGAAGGCAGTCCCTGAGCTAAAGAACCGTACTGATGCATACCACAACTCTTTAATAGCTGCATAGTTAAATAAAGCAAATCATTTTGTAAGAAGAAATGCTTTTCTTTGTACAGACTAAATTTAATATGAAAAAGTGAGCTGAAGGGACACTTCTGCTTTACCAAATGAATCCTAATACCCTTTAAAGTATCTATGTGAAAGGTGATTAATGTCAACCATGTCCCTGAAATATCTGATATATTATAAACATGTTTGCTGTGGAATGTATTGTCCTGCTGAAAATTAACCTCTTCAGAAAAGGAGGAAAATAAGTCTTTTCTGTTCACATAATCTGAAGATTAGTCTACAGTGTTTGGTAAGAAGTAAAGAACAGTCAAAGTGCCTTGGAGAAGGCAGAGGAGCTTTGCTAATGGTCAAATCAAGCTAACAAAGACCTGCTGCTGCTGCCCTGTGGGTTTCTGCATCTCCCTTTCTGCAGCTTTATGCCAGGGCAAAACCTGTCAGAGTTCAGCAGCTCGGGAATCTGACCTGGTTTAAGATTTTACTTAGCACAGTGCACTCAGACAGCAAATTTCAGATGTAAGCCTCAGTTCAGAAGATCAATTACTGTTTTTCATTCTACTATTATTCCTGAGGGTGCATTTGCAATGTAATTAATTTTTATGTGGGATTCTTCCATCCCTCCATTGACATTTTCCTGGTAAAAGTATCTGCTCTGCTAGATTAATGTCTTAACTTTAATCTTACGGGCTGAGATCCATCTCCATTCATAGCAAAGCTAAAAGCACTCTCTTTAAATCTCAGGCAGAGGAATTGCCAAGATTAAAAGCCTCCATGGAAACAGGGGGTCAGGGGAGTGGGGAAATAGGGCACTATTTCCAGTGGACAAGCTATACTCAGACATGATCCCAAAGGATTTACATGGGACCCTCTTTTGTAGTTTGCTACTTGCAATGTCATATTTCTCACTGAACATCTTGTTCCTTGGTAGCACAGGCTTCTTGCAGTTGGATCCTGGTAAAATAAATGGGCCAGGAGGTGCAGTAATTCATAAAAAGGGTACTTACATGAGCTGAGAATTTTATTTTACCCTGCTTGCTGCTGTGTCCTTGGCTGGTCTGGGAGGGCTTATCAAATCCTTGTAGTGCAGAGTTTGGGATATGTAAGTGGTGATGGCAGAGGAGAGGGCAGGAGACTTATTTATTCATTAAGTCATTGTCATCCAGTTGGCCCTGAGCTTGACTGAAATCTGAAATGTCACAGGCTAGACAAGACAGCTAAAGTCTCCTCCATATGTGAGTACTTACCCTTCTGTCTGGAAGCACCCTGGGAAAATAAGGCTACATCACAGAGGAGCCAATTCAAGTGTCCATTTTGAAACTTTTCTTTGTATTTCAGGCAAACTTGTGCTTTGTGGACATCGATAACCATTTCATCGAACTGCCGGAGGAATTCCCCCAGTTCCCCAACAAGCTGGAGTTTATCCAGGAAATCTCTGAGGTCCTCCTGCAGTTTGGGATCCCCCCAGAGGGCAACCTGCACTGCAGTGACAGTGCCACCAAACTCAAGAACTTGGTTCTTAGTGACTTGGTGAATGACAAGAAGAATGGGAACATCCCCAGCAACGCCCTCAACATGTACGAGCTGCTGAAGGGCAACGAGACAATCGCTCGCCTGCAGGCCCTCGCCAAAAGAACGGGCGTGACGATGGAAAAAATCACAACCCCCCTCACAGAGGAGAAGGATGGCAAGCTGTCATGCGAGGAGCTTGAGCTGAGGGACTACAAACTGAACGTGCAGCTTCGTGAGGTTTTCGCCAACCGCTTCACACAGATGTTCGCAGACTACGAGGCTTTCGTCATCCAGGCTGCCCCTGACATGGAGTCGTGGCTGACTAACAGGGAACAAATGCAAAACTTTGACAAAGTAAAGATAGCCGTGTATTTGTTGAGGGGGAGGGAGCATAGCTGTGTTATGTGTACGTAGCCTAGGTACTCTTTAATCTGCCGTTCTTCCTCTGCCTCACCGGGAGATTTGTCCATTCTCATTACACAGGCCCACATCGGTGCACATCCTCAGAGCCGGTCAGAGCTTGAACAAACCATGCTGGCAGGCTTCTGCCTGGTGATGGGGCTACTCATGTGGCTTTGGTGGAAGGGTAGCAGTGGAAAGTGACTATTTTTTCTATCTGTCTGTCTTTTTTTTGTTTGCTGAGAGGAGAGGTGCACACATGAGACAAAAAACAAATCCGGCCTTTCATATTACCTAAAGTCACAGCAGAGGTTGTTGGTAACAGGTAGTGTTGTTCTGAAGGTCATCACTTTGGTGTGGCACAAGAGTACTGTTGTGACTCTATTGCAGTGTGTACACAAGAGTGAAAAGGAAGCTGAGATTAGAAATGGAGAAATAGAGACAGTAGACTAGCAAAAGGAATGAGAAATGTTGGAAGCTCAGTTGCTATTTCTTAGGGATTGCAAAGTAGATAGTGCTCTTAGCCATCAGCTTTTTCAGATACAAATCCTTCTCCTGGGAGAATGTTAGAAGGATAAGCAGTGAGGAACAGGTATATACTGATCTGAGTCAGTTTTTGATAAAAAAACTGCTGCCATGCCTTTTATTGGTTGGTTTGTGTTCAGGCATTAAACAGTGCAGCATCCAAAAGAATGGGGTAGTTTAGGCAATCTCTGCCAGTGCTTCTACAATAAAATGGGCTGTTAATTTTAGGCTTTTCAAAGCTCAGTTAGAGACTTAAAAACACAGTCAGTTCTAATTGGAAATTCATGATTAATTGCCTTGTGTAACATCACAAAAGAGCATTAGCTGAAAAGCATTTGTGCATCCCTTGATGCCTATGACACCTTAATGTGGGATACAATCCCAAGCTGGAATGCCCAGACCAGAGGTCCCCAGTGGGGGCACACATGGTGGCGGTCTGGCATGTGTTGCACAGGGCTTGTTTCTGTGGGTGGTAGCTGCTAGGCTGCTTTGCAAAAGCTGGCAGCATGAGCACTTCTTCAGTAACTTCGTTTCCCCTTCACTCCAGCTGTCACGAAACCTCCCTGACCACTTATTTCTCACTGTTGTGACCAAAGAGGTGACCTGTGAACCAAACCCCTTTTGTAGATGGAGTCAGAACCTATCTGAGAGGTGTTTTTGTGGGGGGGAAGCCTTGCCGAAGCCTTCCTGCTGGCTGCTGGATTGGTTCACTACTGCAGGATGACTCCTCATGTCAGCACTGGGTGGGAACGTGGCACTAACGAGCTGTTCTGTTGTTTCAGGCTTCCTTCCTTTCGGACCAACCTGAGCCTTACCTCCCATTCCTTTCACACTTCATCGAAACACAGATGTTTGCAACCTTCATAGATAATAAGATAATCTCCCAGTGGGAAGAGAAGGACCCTTTCCTACGAGTTTTTGACTCCCGAATTGAGAAAATAAAGCTGTATAATGTAAGGGCCCCTGCACTGCGGACATCCAACTACCAGAAATGCAGCACTTTGAAGGAAGCAGGTACGTCCAGATGGGATAGTAAAATATTCAGAAGTACAATGTCAGCCACAAAGAAATAGAGTTCCTCAGTCATTTGAGCATTGCAGTCAATGAGGAAGTTCTAGAGCTATCTGAGGGCTCGGCAGGGCCATTATCTCCCCTAAGCAAAAACTTCAGCATGCTTTTAAACACCAGAAACAGCGTGAGCCTTTACCTTCCCTTTGAGCTCTCCTGGGCTGGTGCCATTAATAAACACAGCCCAAACCATGGCACTGGGCTCAGAATTTCTCCTTTCAGGCAATTCCTGTTCTGTTGCCAGGAGAGCTTTCCTTCACTGTGGTGGTGGGACCGGTGCCAGCCACGCCAAGGAGTCGAGCCCCAGTGTCTGTTCCACTAGCTTTGTCTGCCCCTTCCCATAAAAAGACCTTGTTTTGCCTTATGCCATTTGGTTAGAGCAGTGGGGGATGCTGGGCATGTAATCCTGTGTGGCATATTTAGTACCTCCAGCAATAGATGTTCACTGTTAATGAACAATACACTGTGTACTGAAGGCTTGGATTATTTTCCATTACAGTCACAGGATGCATTTTCAAATTATACTTGAATTACTTACTCAATGCATGTACAAGTATTATTTCATTTCCAAGTAATACAGGGAAACTGTATTCTTAAATTTGTTGGGATACATATTAGTAAACTGAGGCAAACACATTTCTCCTGGGGTTCTTCTGTTGAACTCCTTTCAGAATGTTTCACGTGTTATAAACATGGCAAAAATAGAAATCTCTGTCTGCTTAACTTTTTCTGTCTAAACCCAATTCTAATTTGCAGGTCAACTGTCTATTCAGCGTCTAGTTTTGGCAGATATTGTGGCACCAGAACCTCATTTTCTGTCTTGTGAAAAGCAGCAAACTGATTGTAATACCAACTTTCCTTCATATTTACCATTCACAATATATGTCACCCCAGCACTGATCCAGCACCTGTTTGTTTAACCTACTGTTTTCAGAACCCTTCAAACCCTCTGACCCCACACTACCCACTCCTTTCTCCAAAATGGAACCCTACAAAGTGATTTTTATTTTTTTTAAAGGGGAAAGAATCCCTGCCAAGTTTCTAATGATGATGTATGTAAATCTTATGACAGTTTCTTTCCCATCACAGTTTTGTAAACTAGGAAATTAGTTCTGTGTTGTTTTTGAAGGAAAATGGAAAAGGGGTTTAGCTTCCACATTTTATGTATTTATTCCCTAGTTGTGATATGATGAAAGAACAGATCTGCCCATAAATGGGTGGACTATAAAGAGTGGAATATTAAAGTTGCTAATTAAATGCTAAATTCCCTCATATACCCCAATTCTTCACAAGTTCATCTGACTCAGTGTTGAGAGGGTGACAGGTTTTATTTTCATCCTGCTCAAGATTTGAGATTGAAACTCTCATGTCCTTGAAGCAAATAATGAACCCGAGTAGAGCTAAGATTCCTGGGGAGCCCTCTCTGCTCTTACCATAGCCTCCTCTGTTTCCAAGCATCTCTTCATCCTGTTGATGCTGCTCAGGCCCTGCTACAGTTAGCTAAGCTTTTTGAAGGCCTGTCACCCAGTAATGGCATATCTGATCTCAGGAGGAGGAGGATCATTGTAGGTGCCAGATGTTTGCAGAACTCGGGTTTCCCCCTGCCATGCATCCATCCAGGAGCATGTGTGTGGGCAAAGCGAGGTGCCCAGTCCCACACAGAGTTGCAGGTGGCCTCAGAGGTCTCTGTTCTACTGAAGGAGCCTTGAAACCAAGCAAGGAATTGCAGGGAAAGGTTGCACTGTGTACTTGCCAATTCACAATACATCCCTGTAAATACCTGCTAACTTAACATCTAACGTTCTTGTGCCAGTGCTAGTCGTGTTGGGTAAAGAAACTAAAAGCAAAATTAAAAAAAACCCAAGTGTCTTATCACTTCTGTAAGCGACAGATTTCCATGTCTGAAGTTACTATTTAACTGTTTTAGTGTGTTTTCAGGGATGTGAGCATGACCCCTCCTGTTGTGGCAGCACGTGCCCTCAGGTGTTTCTCTAGCGCAGTTGTTCACCTGTGACTGTAACTTGCAGCCCAGTCCATCGAGCAGAGGCTGATGAAGATTGACCACACAGCAATCCACCCACACTTACTCGACATGAAGATTGGCCAAGGGAAGTACGAGCAAGGATTTTTCCCAAAGCTGCAGTCGGATGTCCTGGCAACAGGACCCACCAATAACAAGTAAGCATGAGTTTTTGTTTGCTGGATTTAAAAGCACATTTCTGGAACGAAAGATTCACATCATTGAACAGAAGTCCTAATTTTGGATGGCATATTACCACTTTATTGAATCCAGCAACTCCTTCCATTTCTGGTTTGTATGGGCTATGATTTTTGAAGTTATAACCATAGTTTGGGTTGTTAGGAAGTGTCAGCTCTGGTTTGGGGAAGATTCCTCAGAAATGTTTTCTGAGTGGTAAGTCTTCTCATAAATATTTTTATCTTTGCCATTGCTCTTATGAATTTAAAAGTAATTTCTTTGCTGGTTTGCACTGAATAGGATAATTTTGAAACCCAAGCCAAAATTCAGATTCTGAAAGAAATTTTGGCATTGAAACCTCCCCACTATCATGCAGAATGAAATTAATGCCCTCTATTCCTCTTTTCTTTAGCTGTTATGACATGACCCAGAGATTCTTATAGCTCTCTTTTAGTTTCCTCATTGGAATACCCTGGAAGAATAACTTGGTTAGGGTAGAAAGGATGTGGTTCTGTACCTGGGTTTCTCCTTTGAGTCTGATAATCAGGTTCTGTGGTGCCCTTTGATATGAAGGTAGGGGTACCTATAGCTGTGCAATTTGAGCATGCCGGGACATAATTCATTTACCTAATGCAAAATGACAACCTGGAATACTGATACACTTTACATTTGTACAGTTATAATAAAAAGTAAGTGCTGTGAGTTGCTTTTTTTTTTTAAATCTTTCTCCCTTCAAACACCCTCCCCCAAGGGGGTTTCTCCCTCTTCAAAAATGAAATATTTGTCTACCAGTGATCACAAATTCATTAAATTATTAGCTCAAGCTCTCACTCCCAGCTTCTGTGGTAAGTCAGAATGTGAGAGCACAGATAAATCCAAGAGCTTCAAGAGCCACAATTGTCCAAATGTTAAAACAAACTCTTGGTTTTAGATGTGTGCATGCACACAAACTGCTCTGAGCTGCTGTATGAGGTTCCCACTCATTTCTATTTATACACCTTTTGTGCACCCCAGTGCTATCTAATCCCTTTTTAATAACCTGCTAGGAATAAGATTTACAAATGATACCCTTAAGCATTGGATGTTTAAAGAATTGCAGTTCTTTTACAGAAATTTAAAAAAAAAAATGGAGAAAAGGAGGTACGCATATTTCAAAGTTCCTTTGTTTGCAGTCATCCTGCAAATGGAGACAAAAGTTTATGGGTAATGGTCCCTTAAGGAATGGAGGATTTCTTCATCTTGTGGGATGCTGTATTTAGCAGTCTGCCTCTTATCCTTATGGTGGGTTTCAATTCTACAGTGTCAGCAACAGTGTGAGTGTGCCCAGCCTGCTTGAAGTTGTTACATCTTCTGGCTTGATTACAGCATCTTGTCTATGAATAAGCATCAAATTAAATATAGTTTTCCTTATGTCTTTTGAGATGCTTCTGTTAGATTGGTACCTATTCTAAAATGTGGCTCTAACTCCTTAAGTGTTAATTTTGATTTAGATTGCAGCATGTTTCAGAATTTATAAGTACAAAAATCCCATTACTTATAGCAAAGCGATGTCAAAGTGACAAATGTTTGGAATTCCTCCAGTTGTGTATTGCCAAAAAGGTTTGTAATTGGAAAATCTCGAGACCATCTGTTCATCTCTTTCTGCTTCCTGGTTTTCATGTGAGCAGCTGAGAGGACTCTCCATTTCAAATGTGTAATTCTGCTGAATTTACACCCATGTATAAAACAGATAGCTTTTTCATGCTCCCTGCAAATACAGCATGACTCTTTTGACCACAGAATCAACAGTAGTCTTCCGCTGATTTGAATTTCCCAGTGTATAATTCTCAGAGATATGTTTTATTTGCATATAGGACTGGACCTTTGCATGTGGGTGTGGGGTAAGAGATCATTTCAGCTACATTCCCAGACACTTCAGATGTAGCTATTGTGTGGTTTATATTGTAAAGTTAATGCAAAGGATATTGCCATGTGGATGAGAATTATTTTTGCAGGCAGCTTCAGTTTTATGTAGCAAATGTTGTCCTGAATATTGTAAGGAACTGTGTTTGGAGGGGGGGGGAAATCCATTCCCATGTTTCTGTCAATTGTTGCTGAACAGTAGCAAATAAACCAATTAAAGCTGTTTTGCTGAAAACCTCACCTCAGTGGCCAGCAATCAGGTATTTATTGCTGACAAACTAACTAGAGCTCATAATGTTCCTGTAACCAGGCCGAGCACTAAAAATACCTCTGTCATTCTCTGGGCTGTTATATCTGTTACTTCAAAATCACAGATATAATCCAAACAACAAACACTTTTAGTTTCAGTTCTAGATCCTATAGGTTTGGGCACACTAGACAGCCACACTGAATTATTTAGGATTATAGAATCATTTAGGTTGGAAAAGACCCTGAAGATCATCGAGTACAACTGTAAACCTGCTGCTGCTAAGATCACCATTTGAACCTGGTGTATTTGAACCTGAGCTCTGGCCAGACTGGGATTAAGGTTTGTTTCAGTACAAACCTGACAGGGATGGTGGAACTGAGAACTCCATGGGAGTAGAAGGCAGGCCTTAAAAGGTTCCTTAGGAATAACATTAACCTATCTAAACAATGAGGGCTTAAAAAGGGAAGCTTCCTGCATGGATAAATAATGAAAAAGAGAGCATCAGAGTAAATGGTCAGTTTTCCTACTGGAGGGTTGATCACGTTAGGATGTGGAAGTGTTAAAACACTGAAGTCTGTCAATCGAAGTCCACTGATGTTTCATCTGTCAGCCCATGGCCATGCTTAGCAGCGAGCTTTGCACCACTTCTGTCACTCAGCTCCCTCCTCCTGCTTTCCCTTTAAAGGTGTCCTTTGAAGGACTGGACAAGGGGATGAACCTGTGCTCTCTGCCCCCAGCCAGCATCAGGTTCTTGCTGCTTTCTCTCACCTGCCTGATCATTTGTGGATCAGGAGATCCTTCTTACACTTGCTCCTATTCTTACCAGCTGTTAAGGTGCAGGTACTTGCTCAGTGTCATTTAGGGCTGGTATTCACCTCTTCCCCTGTGGTGTTATGTGGAAATGTTGACTTGCTCAGCTAAACAAGAACTTCAGTGAAAAAAACTCCGAACTTCAGTTTACTGAAAAGAAATGAAAAGTGTAAAAGTAAGCAAATAATAAAAACCAAACAAACAAACAAAACAACCAACAAAATAATCAAAACTGCCAAAAACCCCAAACAACACTCCACCCCAGCCCCCCACTTCCATAAAATTGGAGAACAGGCTCCCAGGTATATGATTGGTTTCCCTAATCATCATTTTGATCAAGGCCACAGAACATGGATAAGACATTAACCACAGAATATGCAGATCTAAACTTACACGAAAGATGATAACTGTTGTATCCAAATTATTTCTATAAATTAAAGGAATATTACTGTTCTTTAAAGAAAAGAGCGATTCATCCCAGCTAACAACTGAATGAAAAACACAAACCAAAAACACCTTGCCCATTTCTGTCCTCTTTTCCATCAGGCGGTGTCCCATTTGAGGGACTCCCTCTGCTCTCATTGCCTTTGATAAATCCCCCACACCATGGGAAAACCTTCTGAATCTGCAGAGAGCAGCTGCAGCTTCCTCTGGGTACAGAAGCATCCTCCATCACGTTGCTCTAACCTTGTAAAGCAATGGCTTCTGCAGAAGTCCTCCTAGAAATCATCCCAGGAGAAAACAGGCTGCAGTCCCTTAGGCAATTTGTCTCTTATTCTGGAAAAGAGACGTGATTTCCGGAGTCCTCGTTTCCTTTCTCAAACCTCAGCACCACACTGTGGTTTCTACGCATTCCCTTCTTCCCTCTCTGCATGCATTTTCTGCCAGGCTTTTAAAATTGTAGCTGGGGCTCCACTGAGCTGATGCATTTGCAATGATCCAGGAGTGGAATTTGAATGATAAAAAGCCAAGCTACATAAACACTTCATGGTTTTTGATTAGCTAATTGTTAAATTAGAGGGAATATGCTTACAGTGCAAATTTAAAACAATGAAACAAGCTGTGTTTTCAATCTAATTGATTACCTCGTAACTTAATTTGTACTAAGAAGCTTGATAAATGAGATTAAATGTTGCAGAGGAAAACACTGATTGCGCACCAAGCAGGGGAATATATTTGCATTCTGGTGATTTGTATTGAATGCCTGAGAAGAACAACTAAACTGATTTTTTTTCTTATAGCTTTTGGTTTTCAAATGAAGTTTTTGTTTTATTACACATTTACAAAATGGCTTAAACTACCCTTTCTTGCCTTCCTTCCTGTTTAGCCCTTCCCCC